CTACCGGATGTTTTCGTACCATATTCGGTGAAACGTGTGCCGGGCGCTTTTTTAAATTCCTGTAGGGGTCGCTACCAACACTAACTAACATGCTAACAAATCATGGGAGGTAGAAGCTTCTAAGCAAACCACTCTACGGCACGCATTACCCTGCGAATGTTGCATTATTAATAACTATTGGTTATCGAGTATCATCTATCCACCAGTTGGTGAAAAATTTTTACTTTAGTTGTCCAATCCCACCTCGCAAAGCAATGGTTCCACACCCGACGGCAACGTGTAACGACGGGCATCGTGACGTCAAGGGGTCGGTGGGATCGGTTACGACTTAGCCATAATTAGGAAGGCCTCAAGGGAAAAGCAAATTGGCAAGAATCCACCCAAATGTTTTAATTTTAATCGGCCCAACCGGCCGAGTTGCGGAGCATATAAACCTGTGTTCATTTAAAGACCGCCATTGTCGGACTCCCGGCGAAAAGTTGCGTTGGAGTAAAGCCAAGTAGTGGCCCTGAGGACACATGGTGGAAATACCGAGCACAATTCGCTTGTCTCAAATCCGAGCTTTACAATTAATACCCGAGAGAGTGCCCAGAGCGACAATGCCGCCGACTACGTGTCTATCCTTTTTGACCAAAAAGAATGCCGTACACTATTATTTAATTTATAAAGTAGGGCTTAAATTGTAAATATCAAAGAGAAATTCTGGTATATTCAAATGGTCTTCTGTATGGCCAAGGGACGTCAGAATGCTATGGTGTACATAATATATTCTTCGTGGACATATTCGCTCTATATTTTCGGCGTCCTCTATCTAAGGACGAACGGACCCCATTAATTTAGGAAGGCGCTCCAACTGATGCTCTGGAGGAAAACTTTCCAAACTTCGAGCAAACAAATAAACAAGAGTCATACAGCCGGAAGTGGCTGGCATACAGTGGGACCCATGTTCAGCTCCTCCTTCACACGGCGAAAAATTTCCCCGGGGGGCAACACGAAACGTGATATAGAGGTTTTTGAATGTGCGACAAAACTAATGCAGGAAGTTATTAAGCCTAAACGCACTTTTGATGAATAGCGCCACCTAGTGGCCAAATCGAAAGCCCGACAACGAAGTATAACAAATTTTTCGCCACGACTGACATGTGTGCCGAGTTTCATGAGTTTTTGAGCATGTTGAGGCCTCCAAATATGCGTTTGTTTAGGAGGAAAAAGAAAAAGAAGAAAAAGAAAAAGAAGAATTCCTTCAATTACAATAATTTAAAATGTTCTAAAGCTATATCTATTGTTTTGGTCACAATAATCGTGTAATGAAAACCTAATATTGTGACAGGTTATAGTTCATGGTAGTTGTTGTATTGAACAACTGAAATCCTCATTATCTTTACCTCTTTCACTCCACACTGTGTCCCAGAGGCTGTAGATTACCTTCTGCATCCATTGGTACCAAGCATGTCATGCTAGTGTCGGGAAGGGAGCTAAATAACAGTCCAAAAGTGAAGCTAAAGGGAATCCCTGACCTCTGACCTCAAAATATCTGAATGAAAATGGGTTCCCACAAGTCTCCCCTTTGCTGATTTTATGCTAATCCCTCACAGTTTTTTCACATGTAGTATAAATATGTTATTGTATTCATTGTATTTTAATATTTCTGCATACTGGGGTCCATAAACAGTGTTAGAATTGAATAAACTGGGAATGACTGATAAGCTGAGACACATTTTTTATGCCACCTCTGCTTTATATAGTCAAAAAAGGTCTGGACACGTTCCTGCTGACCTGCATTATATAAAGATGAGTTTCTAATATTCTCTGATACAAATCTCTGGCTGTGTTGTTGTTGACCTCACCTTCACTTTCTCAAAGTAGCTGCCGGTGGTGAGGAAGTCTCCTGACTGGAAGAAAGGCTGATCACTGTTGCTCCGCAGGAATTTCAGGAGGCTTTCTCGGAAATCATTAACCACCTCTGCAGCCCAGCGGCGGTCCGTCTGCCGGATCTTCAGGTCTTTAGCACTGAGTTTGATCCAGTTGGCCAGCTCTGGGGAGAGGGAGACCGGCACCTTGTCCTCTGTGGATCCCTCCTCTGTAAAGTAGAGATAATCTCTCCAAATCTCGAACGAGCATTTTTAACATTCAACACAGAAAAGAATTTAAAAAAGACAGATATTCTGAGATTAAGCTGCTTTTGTGAACTGACTGAATTTCAGCTGCAGCATCACCTGCTTGTTGTTGTTGCTGAACTTTCTGTCTCTGTCTTGCAGGTGTGGGGCGTTGGAGACGCTGCACCGCTTCAGTCGGACTGTCCTCTCTGTCCATAACTCACTCGTCTCAGCCTTGAATAACAGAGATTATAATATATATGAGTCTTTTCCCTTCATGCCACTTTCTACTTCTGCTCCACTTCACCTCAGAGGGAGGGAGGTCTTAGTACTTTAAGGTTTTAGTTACTTTACAAAGTGAGATTTTTGTACAGAAAACATGTAAAGAGCTTATAAAGCATGATGCTGTGTTATAAGTAAAACTACCAACAGTATATATATATTATATATATTATAATAATCCAGTGTTTCTCTAACTTTTTACACTGCGTACAACCTCAGAAAATATTAAATATAAGTAAGTAAAATATAAAATGTATTGTATGTATGTATTTTCATGAGACATTTTGTAGTATTTTGATAGTGTTTCATGTTTTTAAATTCATTTATTTTGTATATTTCAGAGATTTCTCCACGTACTATCAGTGGTACACACACCATAGTTTGAGAACCAGTGGATTAGTTGAATAATCAATCAGAAATTTATTGGCAACTATTTTCAGTTATTTTTAATGCAGAACCATTTAATGGTTCCAGCGTCTCAAATGTGAATATTTTCTGTTTTTCCTTTTAATTATCAATATTTTTAAACATATTTTTGTATGTGTGTGACAGTGACTGGGGACTTTTTCAGCATTGATATCTACATTCATATTTTTAATTACCTTTACTCCTGATAATACTTATATTTACATACTATTTGTGGAGGCTATTGGTCAAAAGGATGTTTCCAATTAAGAGGTTCATTGTCCAGGCAGGATTCAATTAAGTTGATTTATTTTACAGTTTAGGAGCAAACATACAGGTTAATCAACCCTCTCTTGCTCCGTCTCTTCCTGGTGCATCACCTAACAAGTGCTTACTCTGGTGCTTAGTGCCCCTTAATGTGTACAAAAGAATATAACTGCAAAAACAAGTAATAATAATAATAAAATAATCAAACTAATTAAATATCCCCTACACTTTTTTCTCAAACAGCATTTTAAAAGCAGGACTACTTGTTTTTACAGCGAGGTATTAGTACTCCATCACTGCAGAGAGGAGACAGAGGATATAACTCTCACTGAACATCAGAGACGTTTGAAAGGTTTGAGTGAGAATTGTTGGGCATCTCTAATGGATTTAGTTTGGTGTCCGATGGAAACCACATGTTGTGTTTTAGTGGAAACCACAGATCAGATCATTGAACCGTATGTAAGTCACAGCATATATTTTATTTCGAAATTCAAAGTTAACTGTAAGTCTGTTAACTCAAACATGTACATGGACAGAGGATAAAATCAGACAATAAAATCAAAAAAGCAAACATTTTAGTGTTAAACTGAAACTCTTGTAATAATGTGCTTTTTTAAAGTGAACAAAACATTGTAGTTTTAGTTTTATTGAACAAGAACTTGACATGTAAACATAAAAATAAGTATTTTAACAACTATTATGATTTGTTTAATCAACTGGAGTCATGGAAAGAGCACAATGTATGTATTACATATTATTTGGTCTATATGAGCTTTAGATTTTTAGCAGAACTGCCTCAAAACTGGTTTACTTAACATAAGACAATACATCAAGTTCACAAGATCTTAACAATCTACACATAAAGAGGAGCAGCACATATGAACAGTGCTGTAATTGTAAATGGCTCAAAGATATAACAACTATATATACTATTGTATTGTATTTCATTGGACAACCGTGCTGTATTCTGATGAATAAATGTCCTTGATTCTTGATAAACGGCCGTGAAATGTGATACACACCTTCATGGTCTCAGGAAATTTTTTTATCCGTCTCCAGGTATTAAATTTGATTATGCCCAAATAGATACAAAAATAGACTGCATGTATGCATTATTGTCATTAAACAGACATATAGAGTGTGTTTGACAGCAGAAAACTATAACCTAAAGCCTGTAACATTATATCATAATCCATAGATAGATAGATAGATAGTAGTGGTTTAACTCACCTGTGTTTGAGAAGCTTCCGTTGTAAATGTGGGTGGGTTTCTGTTGTATTTGTCTTCCTCGTCAGCTTTATAATATCTTTACTTTCACTTTCACTTTCCAGGAAATGGAATCCAAGGATATCAATCAATCCTGTGCCAGGATGCAGTCCTCCCTCTTTCTCTCTCTTCCTTCTCCCTAAGTGGGTATCTTTCAGTTCAGCACAATGAATAATGACGCTGCGGCTGCCAGACAAAACACCCACACACACAAGCACACTGGTTGTACCATGGTTGTATTTCTGTAATATAAACTGGGTTACAGCTGTCAATCTCTTCCCCTAAACTAAATAACGAGGTTGCCACTTATAGTGACATAAGTTCACAAACAGGCTTGTGTGTAAATCACATGCTGTGTGTTTCTATGAGGACAAACTATAACCTGCATCAAAAGCGTATTTTTAATATTTTCTTTTGATTGTTTTTTGCCGCTAACTAAAGAGGAAAAGTGCCTTTCACACCATCCACTGTCCATAATCCCTTCATACAGATCCTCAGCTCTATCTACTGTCTTTACAGTCACTTAGACACACAGATTAAAATATATAGAGAACCAAGTTAGTCCCCACTTGAACATACAACATTAAGAACAAGATAAAAGCGTTCAAATATTAATATAAATATAGGCCATCTTGTAAAAGTGTACTTACACACTGAGGAGAAGGCTGATACAAAGCCGAAGAGCCGTGACTGGAAACCGTCTGGTTGGTAGAACAGCTCAAAGGTTTTGATCAGCTGATGTTAAAGGGGCCTGGCTGGGCTGTAAGGGTTTAATCTGGACCAAAGATCAGATGGTTTTTTTTTATTATAGGAAGTTGGCAGCCATCTAGTCCTGTTAGAATAGCAAGGCAACAAAGTGAGATTGTACAGTTCAAGTGGTTTAAATGCCTTCCTCTCACCTCCTCCTCCTCTATGGGTATTTTTCATTTTACAGACACTTAAAGGGTTAAAAATGTTTCCAATTGCACAACTTGACCCATGAACACAAGCAAACTATTTTTATTTCTGTGTCATATTATAACTGGACACATCTTCTATAAACTGGGTTACAGCTGTTGATCTCTTGAACATCTTATAATGACACAACGTGTTCACAAATGTTTCACATACTGGATGTTTTTATGAAGACGTGTAGGCTAATTATCTTAAATAATAACAGAATCAAAGAGGTTAGAGATTATTGATCTTCACAAAGCAGCCATCACACACACACACACACACACTGTAATTTAAATATTCACAACTATCATTAATGAGCTAAAAGCTAGTAGCAGGTACAATGTTTATCATCTTAGTTTAACATGTTAGTATGCTAACGTTTTCTAACTAGTACGGATGAGGTTTTATTTTTAAGGTATCATAATAAACCAAAGTTTAGGACCCTTATTGACCTGATGATGCTAAATGTAAAGTCGGGGGAATCACCAAAGTGACCAGTTCATGCTGAGGAAGACATGAAAGTGCACCGAGTTTAATGGCAGTTCATCCACCAGATGTTCAGACATTAGTTTAAACTGCTAATACACCTAAAATAATCAATAAGTAGAAGCCTTTAGAGGAAGAAAGATAAATATTTGTTCATACTTCAGTATTCTTACATTGGATGCTCTAACTAAGAATTGGCTGAAGAAAGAAATACCCAGTGGATTTACCTTGTGTGCAATAGTTATGTTACGTTTCAGACCAACCTTTTTGTAAATATTAGTCTCTAATTGTTAATGTATGAATGTTAGTTTACTCTATTTGTCCCCTTTTTTTCTCATATTTCAAAGGTCTTAATCTTCATATGGCATTGACTTTAAGTAGTTAATGTCAATTCACTCTTTGAACAACAATTTAACGACAATCAAAAAAACTTTATAAACAGAAACACGGGTCATCTGATGCACTGTGGTAAATTGTTGTAATGTTTTCAGTTTTAAAAGGAGAAATTTTCTCTGTTCCAGTATACTAGTTAAAGCTAAATTTACACTATTTACGTAAGGTGGTCAATGTGATTTTTGTGGGACAATCTGCAGTCTTTTAAGTTTCTATAATGCTGCACTGCTTTGATTAAATGGACCATCAAAGGTTTGTGCTTCTTGAGTCAAGAACAAATTTTATATTAGTAAAATGTTGTCAAAAGCCACAAAAACATGAATAAATGTTGCTTTCATTGAAGCACCAGAATGAAATTAAAAAACATGAAAGGAAACATTTTCACTTGGTACGTTTAAGAATTTTATTATTTTGCTTTCAACCTAATTTTTAATAGTTATATTTAACAGTTGTCCATAAAAGACACAAGCCTTCCTTTCCGGCGGAAACTTTTCCGATGGGTTTTAATAAGCATAAGCCAGAAGATGGTGTTAGGATGAAGAAGGGATGGTTGCTGACATGTGACTTGTTGTTGGACACCCTGCATGAGAATTCATCTCTTCTTGTCGGCCTTCAGTGCGGCCTTGGTGACCTTTCCACCAGAAATGTCCTTCTTCACAACAGACTTGATGACACCGACGGCCACGGTCTGCCTCATGTCCCGGACAGCAAAACGCCCTGGGGAGGAAGAGACGGACGAGACGCTTGAAAAAAAATGCTGTTGACATAATTATGTTCATTTTTTGTTCCAGAAACTGAATTTAAAGGTTGATAAGATTCTGGATGATGGATCTGTGACCACAGTGTCTGTCCACTGGTCACAGTGTTAATTGTTGAACAAGGGAGGCAAATTTCAAGCTACTAAAAGTACAAAAGTCATAAGCTTGAAGGTTCCTTCTCAACCTTGAAAACAGCAACTTGACAAAAATATTAAATTATCAACACAAAGTTCTGACTGACTTGTTTCCGAAGCTTTCAACCACACCTTGTGGCTTTGTCATCACCTGTTTTCACCTCCATGGAATTTAAGTTACGCCATAACAGATTACAACAACTCGGGGAAGTCAAATTGGACCTGGTGTGAAGAATTTTTCATTAAAACAAAGAACGCAGACTACTTTCACAGCTAAACCAAAGAACATTGAGTAAATCAAAAGTT